AGAAGATGGTGCGGTGGAGGGTTAGTGGGGGTCCAGTTGGAGGGGGGGTGCTTCTGTTGGGACTATGCTGATGAAGATTCTCAGTCATCCAGGTCATAGTCATTCCATAAAAGTTCTGTTGGGACTGCTCACTGCTTTGTTGGGGTCCTAGGAGTCGTCATGGCGCTCCAAAGCAATGATGGATGTCACCTGTATTTCCCCATTACATCATCGACCATTTGGGCTGTCTTTATTATTTGTTCATTCTGTTTTATTTCCTTACTTGTGTTTCGAGTCCTCCCGAGTCACGGCCTCGGCAGAGTGACATTTATCATCAGGGAGACTCTTTATCCAGTTTTTATTCACATCATGTACTTTGGGGAGTAAAACATGTTAGAAGCCAAAAGTTTATTTTGGGGGAATCTATCTCTGTTGAAGAGCTGTCTCTTTTCACAGAAGATATTAAAGTTATCATTAAAGCCAACTGATCTTGCAGAGCAGAGTCATTTGTTCCATTATTCAAGTAGGAAACTCTGCTGAAGACTTCATCTCCTGCTGGTGTCTCAACAGGCCACTAATAAATACTGTGTCTGTTCCACAGTGTTAAGCAGAGTAACTCTGAAGTCCTCTTAGAAATATCATCCAGGTCTCCATCGTGAATGAATAAGTTCTTCAATGCTGGATGTGATTTTGTAATCTGATCCTCTCTGAGATTTCAGCCAGCATTCATTATTTTGCTGTTTTTCTTGTTGCTGAAGCGTTTAATCTCATTCACAGCATCATCAGTTACTATTAATGTTCTTGGGTCAGCAGCTGGTTTGTTATGAGGCTGAAACAGGCTGTTCTCTTCAAGGTCAAAAGGTCAAAGCTGTTTAGCAGAATCCCCATATTCTCATAATCTCAGTGGCTCCTTCCTTATATCTTGTTTTGGGAACAAACAGCTTTGTTAAAAACAATACCTTAACTCAAACAATACTTTTTTTTCTTCTGTTCTTCCAATTTCGATATATTTAAATTCAGTTTCTACCTGGTTAAGTAAGAGGTTAAGAGTCTGAGATGCAGCTTTACAGATTTGAAGGTTTCAACTTGTGCTTGTCATGATCTGGCCTGTTTGCTCTCCCTTAATTAGTAATTCCTCTCACCTGCCATCTTCCCTCCCTGCCTCATTATAATTTATTCCTCTCACCTGTTTCCTGTGGTTTATATTCAGTTCAGCCTGAGCATTCAGTGCCAGATCATTGCTTGTCTTTTTGTTAGTGTGTCCAGTTTTATTTGGTTCATGTTCTGGATCCTAGCTGCCAGTGGATAGAGGGTTTTTGTATTTGTCTCGTCTCCTGATCGTCCACTGTTCCTCCCCCGCGGAGTAAGTTATCTAAGTAAGCCTGGCTCCAGGGAGGAGACTAGTTTAAAGTCCAGCTTCAAATTCCGGTTGCTACGTCCTGTCTCGGCTACCCTCTTCCACTGTGCCTGCCTGTCTGCACCTGATCCTGTCTGCTCCTGCGTGACCACCTGGTCATGCTTCTGGTCCCAGTCTGACTCTGAACCCTCCTGGGAGCCTGTGCATGTCTGGAAGTCTGGATCCTGCCGCCTGTTTCTGCTCCTGCCTGATCTGGATCCTGCCTGTTCCTGTCTGTTCTGGATCCCTGACCAGGATCAGCTTCCAGCATCACCTCTGGGACTGCAGCACTGGGGACACTCGTGGTCTGGACTGGTAAACCAGGTAAGTGACCAACCCAGATAATCATATATCAGTTTATCGTGGTCACTTACCTGTGTTTCCTCCCCTAGAGTGTCTGAGATTGGGCGGTACCCCGCCCCCCCCGCCTGAAGTGTCCGCGAGCCACAGCTCCGCTTTTGTTTTGTTTTTATTTTAATAAACCTTTTGAACTTTCCTACCGACTGTCTCTCCTGAATACTGGGTCCATCTGTCTGCGATTCATGACAGTGCTGGCTTTGTAAGGACATCCACTCCAGGCAAGATTGGTATCTGCCTTAAATGTTAAGGGTAAAATATCGCTTGGTAAAATGATGGACTTCCAGTGATAGGCGGTATCATTTGCCCCACTAAGGAATACAAATCCAAGTGTCAGGGTTCTGCCCTCTGTTTGGGTTTATTCTTAGTTCCTTTGTATTTGTAGTCATTTTCTGTCAGTGTTTAGTTCTAGAGTTACCTTCTGTTGCCCCCTTTGCACTTGTTTCCTTTCCTCTTGGCTTCTTTCTAGTTGGTTCCAGTCACACATGCTCCAAATCCGCTGATTAGCCTGTCTTGGTTCAGTGTCCGCATATTTACACCACCTCTGCAGTCACTCAGTGCTGGTTTGCTGTTTTGTTGATTCCTCGTCTCTGGCCCCCCCACTTGAGTTTTCCCAGTTGCCTGTTAAATCTGCAAGACTCACCTCTGCCTCCTGGTCTCTGCATTTGGGTCCCCAAAGACCTCCACCCAACCGTGACACCAAGTGTAATTTAGGTTCAAATCATGGTCAAAAAATGAACTCTGCACACATATGGAATAAATACACAACAACTTCCATTCAAAATATAAACATTTATCAAAAAAAATAAAACAATTCAACTGCAGGTTATCAAATCAATAACCATTTAGATAACTATTAAACTTATGTGATTACTCCTGAGGAATTAATGTTTAGGAATCCTTAGAAACTAGAAAACATTTTTCACAATCAAATGTAATGAGCTGTTCAGCAAACATATAAAAGTTAACATCATAATGATGTCATAAACAACAGTTCAAAACATGTAAGCATCTGTGTAGCTAGCAAGTGGCAGCCGTTATTTTGCTTTTTGGCTTTCAGAAAACAGTAAAAGACATAAATTGATCAGAAATATTAAAAAAAATAAATAGTTTAGCTGGAAACAATTTCCCTATATTATGCCAGACCTGGTTCCTCTGTTAATCTCCAAAATGAGGAATGATGAAGACTTTCCAGTGATGCTTTCCTACCAAGCAAAATTGTTTGAAAAGACGTTAAAAAGATAACTTGATGTACGTCCAAACATCTTCATTTGGTTGAAAAGTGAAAGGCAAAAAGCTGTCATTTTCAGATTGTTGAAAAAACACAGAAAACCCAGTTTTAAACCTCTATTCTTGGTCAAAAGTGGGACAAGATCAGACGGAGCAAACACAACCAAAATTTCAACAACTATTTCTGGACTAAATCAGGACTATGATGAACCGACCAGATTTAGCCTAAAAACCCGCATTTAAAGGACGTCTAGTGTTTGGGTGGTAGGGCAGCCTAGTCTCTGGGCCCGTTTCTCAATTCACTAGAACGTCAGTACGGACTCGTGTCCTCGCCAAGTATGTTCTTGAGAAGAACACAGGAAGCCCGTCTGCTGCAGACAGGCTAATGTGTGCCTTAGATCCCGTTACCCTCGGTGGTCCGCTGGTTCCCGCGGTCCTCTTAAAGGAATAGTACACCCAAAACATGATTAGCCTTCATTTTCTACTCACCTCCATGCTGAACAACACTCTGGAGTACTTTTTTGATATCTCAAATGCATCTGGAGATCTGGGAGGCTTCTTGCTGTCTGCTGACATTCAAATAATGGAGGTCCATGGCGCCCGAGACAGAAAGGTCCATAAAAGTCCACAAAAACGTGTCAATATTCCTCCATACTGCTCGTCCAATGTAATCCAAGTGTCCTGAGTGGGTAGCATCCAGAATTTACTCGAAACGAAGTAATTTAGAATGTTTTTAGAGCATAAACAGTAGTGTATAGGATTTCCTAATAGCGCCCCCATGCGCGCTCACGATTCTACGGAAGCCGGCAGACCAAACCGGAAGGAAGTGCGCATTCAGCGTCTGGTCTGCCGATAATGCAAGCGTAGAAGAAGAAATGTGCTGTTTACCTGTGCAAAGAAAGAAACAACGAAAGAAAAATGTCTGAGGACTTCAGTGTTGAGGAAGAGCATGAGTTCTTTGCCGAGCTGAATGCGCTGGTTTGGTCTGCCGGCTTCCGTAGAATCGTGAGCGCGCATGGGGGCGCTATTAGGAAATCCTATACACTACTGTTTAGGCTCTAAAACGTTCTAAATGACTTCGTTTCGAGTAAATTCTGGATGCTACCCACTCAGGACACTTGGATTACATTGGACGAGCAGTATGGAGGAATATTGACAAGTTTTTGTGGACTTTTGTGGACCTTTCTGTCTCGGGCGCCATAGACCTCCATTATTTGAATGTCAGCAGACAGCAAGAAGTCTCCCAGATCTCCAGATGCATTTGAGATATCAAAAAAGTACTCCAGAGTGTTGTTCAGCATGGAGGTGAGTAGAAAATGAAGGCTAATCATGTTTTGGGTGTACTATTCCTTTAACTTCGCAAATTTTTTTTTAAATTGCTCATTCAATTAGCCATCTTCCCTGCAGCTCCCAGCAGAATCCCCTCCAACTTCAATCCAGTGAAGTGACCCCCTCCTTCTCCTGGGCATGCATATCTTTTTTACTCTGACTCCATCCTTTCACTGAATTACAGGGAGATGGCGCTTCTCTTTAGACCTTAATGTCCACAAATCATGAAAGAAACATTGCTTTAGTACAAAAATGTATGTTTAAAAAGGAATTGTAGGGGATCAGTCCAGTACCAGCCAAGGACCAGCCAAGAACCAGCCAAGGACCATCAAAGGGCCAGCCAAGGACCAGCAAAGGACCAGCCAAGGACCAGCCAAGGACCAGCCAAGGACCATCAAAGGGCCAGCCAAGGACCAGCAAAGGACCAGCCAAGGACCAGCCAAGGGCCAGCCAAGGACCAGCCAAGGACCAGCCAAGGACCAGCCAAGGGCCAGCCAAGGACCAGCCAAGGACCAGCAAAGGGCCAGCCAAGGACCAGCCTAGGACCAGCCAAGGACCAGCCAAGGACCAGCCAAGGACCAGCCAAGGGCCAGCCAAGGGCCAGCCAAGGACCAGCAAAGGGCCAGCCAAGGACCAGCCTAGGACCAGCCAAGGACCAGCCAAGGACCAGCCAAGGACCAGCAAAGGGCCAGCCAAGGACCAGCAAGGACCAGCCAAGGACCAGCCAAGGACCAGCAAAGGGCCAGCCAAGGACCAGCCAAGGACCAGCCAAGGGCCCATCAAGGAAAGTGGGGAAATTATGAATGCCTACTACTGTTAGTCCTAATGATTGGTTTTATATTGATGCTGCTACCTTCTGAAATCCCATAAAAGTCAGCAGATAATTTTTTTTCCCCGTCTGTTTTTTCTTTATCAGTTAATATATTAGAGGACAGTCTGTAAGATGTGATGAGTTTTCTGAAGGAGTTTTGATGGACTATTTGGTTGCAGATAGACAGTGAAAACCTACAGTAAAAACAAACATTTAAAGAGTCATTAAACCCAACAAGAGGAGTTAAGAATCCCTGTTTTAACTAGTTTAACTAAATGATAAAAGACATGACCAGTGAAAAACCTTGTATGGACAGATTGCCCTCCTGCTCTGTTCTCCCTGTGTTCTATAAACCTCTCAGTTTAACTTATAGAAATCCCAGTCACCATGTTAACGAATGCAGAGCTGTAAGCCAGAAGGATCAGAAGATCTTAAAACCCTTGAGCAGGGTGAGTGTGGCAGCCCTCCGTTTGCTCTGAACCCTGGAAGTCTTCACTGTGACCAGCTTGGCGGTGGTGGGAGCTGGCAGCTCCTTGTAGTCCAGAGCGGAGAAAGAGTGGACGCCAAGCAGCGCTTTGTCCTCGCTGACGTAGGCGGCACTGAGCAAATTCCTGCGTTCGTTGCATGGCTTGGCTCTCCGCACAGCTTTGTAGAAGATGTGCTGTACGGAGTGGAAGTCACGACAAGCAGAAACCTCAAAAAACAAGCAGCCGTAGCGAGTCGCCAAGGCCTCAGCATCACTCTGACTCACCTGCCTGAGAGAAAACATCAGCAGAAAGGACTGAATGTTCTGATCTCCCCACTCAACCAATTCCTTGTCTAATTTGGGGGGTGGGGGTACAATTTCCAAATCCAAGTTATACAAAAAAATAAAATAAAGACAGGGTCATTGATGTCTTTTATAACTGATACAGAATAATAGAAAATGTCTGACCAAAAGTATCAAAGTATTTTCTTATTGATTTAATCTTCATTCGGAAACTAAGAAATGGATATATAAAATGTGTAATATGTATAATTAGAGTGTAAGTGTCAAAAATGTAGAGTCAATGTATTTATTTCCAATTATCTGAGACTGAATCTAATGTAATTTATGAAAACAATTATGATGAAAGAATATTTCTTCATATCATTTTAGACCATAATTTGAGACTGATTAATAAAACATGGAGATAAAAGCAGAAAAAGCTGTTTTTATATAAATCTTAAACACCAGGTAACAAAAAAAAAATGGTTCAATTATATTTCTAACACTTTAAACTCTTTTAAATGTAAAAAAGGTTTAGCAAATCATGCGAAAGTGCAGAAAAGTAATGTTTTAGTGTTTAACCAAATTTAAAACATTTAAGAAAAAATTAAAACCCAATTATTTTATTAAAAAAGGCTTCTTGTAGATCATCTTTACAATATTTTGTCATTGCAAATAAAGGCCCAGCTGCTCCAAGGATTGTGAAGCGAGTCGACTTTAACAGAATTTGGCATAATCTGCTGCTCTGGGTGTTTGGTTTTGTTCAAGTTTTCGCTTTGGGTTTCAGTCGGACTAACATGTTATTCTGTGTTTGCTGCTAAGATTTATATCACTTTTGAACTGCCTCTCATTGTAGTTTAATCCTCCTTTAATCGACTATTCAGCATTCTTTTGTCTTTGCTCTTGTTATCTATTTATTGTTTACAGTTACCTACATAAGTTATGTTTCCAATGGCATCATAGTTATCTTAAGTTAACTCCCTTCTCTTAGCCTCTAGTTTCTCCCTAGTCGTTCTGTATTTTCTAGTCATTCTGTATTTTCTAGTCATTCTCCTATAGTTTCATTTAAGTTCTTTCCAAGTTAAATTTCAGCCCTGTTGCATTCCCTGTTTACTCTCTGTTGCCCCCTAGTGCCCCTCTCCTTTCCCCTTAGCTCCCTTCTAGCTAATTCTTTCCACACCTGCTCCCAATTAGATGATTACTCCATTCGTTGTTCTGTTTGGCACATATACTCCTCTCCTGCAGTTACCTATAGCTGGAGTATCATCATTTCCGCCTAAAAGTCCTGTCACACCTTGATGATTTAGACCAGTGTATGCCTGATGTATAAAAACTCTGGCAAAAACGCTGACATGCGTTGGATAAGTTATGGGCATGTTTTGGATAAGTTATGAGCACGCTGAAGCACGCTGAAAAACGTTGGCATACTGCAAGTATGTCAGGAAATTTGGAACATGCTCCAAATTTCTCGTATGCGGGGGTATGTCATACGTGGGCCATAAGTCACAGGAAAGTTATCTGATCATTGACATATCTTAAGTGTAAGTTACTCATAAGTCACGGCGTCTCATCGGGATATACAAGTTACCAATGAGAAACTTCTGCGTAACTTATCTAGATCTTCTCCCTAACGCATATCAGCGTATCTGCCGTGTTCCAGACGAGCGCTGAACGTGTTTCTAACTTCCAGCTACTGTATAATGGCGTATTGGCAGCGTTTTGGTATAAAGGGGGTTCACAGGAGGAAACCATCAGTTCTCCTCCAGACTTCATCCCCATCATAGGGTGAGCCAGAAGGTGAGTGATGGATCCTCCCTAAGTCCCGCCCACCACCAACACACTTCCTAGCAGACATGACGCTCAATCTGCTGACACCAGAAACCTGCTTTCTTTTTATTTTTTATTTTTATTTATAGTTTTTTTTGGGGGGGACGGTTAACAGCAGCAAGATTAATATCGCGATCAAAGACATCTTTTTTACAAGCTGGGCGCCTACGTGCACATCGCTGCCCCCCTCAGGACACTGGTTGTGCATCATTTCCAGGGCATTACGCTGCTGTGCGTTATGCAGAAGTTAGGCGGCCGATGGACAGAAGTTCTGGACTCGTTATGAATCCTCTATGTATACGCCCAGAATTTAAAATATACATAGAAAGTTCAGCGTATGCCAGCGTTTCAGGAGGTTCTGGGACGTTAATCATACGCTGGATAAATCTGCAAGTTGTGACAGGACCCTAAGGTTTGAGTTACCCTCCGGTTCCTGTGTTCCCTGATTTGCTGTTTCTTTTGCCACCACCCTCATCACCATCTCTCCCTCAATCTCTGCATTTGCACCCTCTACAAAACTCCACCCAACGTAACAAAATTTGGTCATTTTTACCCACTAAGGTGATAAAAAATACTTAGAAACATGTTTTGGCCTAATTTATATGTCTTGTCTTATATCTGTGAAGATTCTCAGTCATCCAGGTCTTGGTGAAACATTAAAGGGTCAGTTTAGTCAACTGGACGTGAAATTTTCTAGAAGACATTTCTCCTCTGATCCAACAGGCTTCTTCAGTTCTGATTCAGATATCGCTCACAATTCACTGGACCCTCCTGTGGAAATAAACATATGTGATGATATTCTTTATCATCCAGCCAAAGTTGGCCTGCTAGATGGTTCAGCAGGATGATTAAAATACAAAACTCAAAGTTCAAATAATCAATTGTGACTGAATTCATGGATTCAACCCGCTTAACATGCTGGTTTGAATTTAGAACAACTCATCAAGGGCGAACAACAACAAAACTTTATGGCGTTTTAATCCAAACCAATTTGACAGATTTTCACATTTTTATGCATTATCTCTGCCATGATCTTGGAACAAATGACTGGCTTAATGGTTCATTCCATTCACCTGCCTAGCTCCGCCCAGTTTCTCATCACGTTTCATCTTATCCACCTGCTCCTGCCTCTATTTAAAGATGCTTGCTCCCAGTCATCAGTGGCAGATTATTCAAGCCTTCAGTGAGAGTTCTCTAGCGTACCTGTTGTTGTTTTGATTGCCTGATCCTGACCAGTTCTGCCCTCGGACCTGTGAGGCTCCCTGTTCCTGTTTTACATGACATTACTTTGGACCCCTGCTGGTTTCTGCCCTCTGAACTATACCTGGATATGCCTCCTGACTGCGACTTGGATGTCCCCTGATTACCTCTTTGGATCTCTGATCTTCTTGTCTGGACTCCTGTTAACCTCTTCGACACTGACTTTGGCTTCATCTCCTTCGTCTGTTTGGATCTGCTCGTCAGCCAGTTCAGCAGCCTGATCTTCTGGATTCTACTCCTTCTTCTTGGCACAGAGTAAAATCTAAAACCAAAGATTCGGCCTTTGATGCCGTTGCTGCTGTTGCAGATCCAACGTAGATTGATTATGTGAATCACACTTATCTAGCTGCTTTGAATCCTGGGTCCTCTGTTGTGAGCCCTGACAATTCCAGATTATATATGCTTTCAGAAAGGCTTAAGCATGCTGTAGGAATTAAGGGAACCACACTAGACAGGTTTAAATCCTATCAGTCCTAAAGATTTCAGTTTGGTTATGTTTATGATAAATCTTGTTCGAGCTCTAGGGTTACTTGTGGAGTACCACAGGGATCAGTACTAGGGCAAATTCTCTTTTTTAATATCCATATGCTCTAAAATGTATCCGTCAGCATGAGATTAATTTCCACTGTTATGCAGTTGATACTCTGTCCTATATATAGTAAAAAAACAAACAAACATTTGTGTTATTTTTATCAGAATCTGTCATTTAAATCCCATATTAGATGGGTTTCTAAAATGTCCTTTTTTCTAAAGAAAACAAAATCTCCTGTCCAGGGGGAATGCTGAGAAACTAGTCCATGCATTTGTTGCTTTAAGTCTGGACTATTTTAATGTATTACCTTCAGGTGGTCCAGAAACCGTAGTTAAAAGCTTTTAGTCCTGTTTCTCTCCTAGACGTTAGCTATAGGCTCAGCTTCTGCTGTGACTAACTGGATGTGCTCTCTTTGATGCTTTTTGACATGAAAACTAACTCAGAGTTCGTCTACTTAACTGTTTCTTTCTCCAGACAGATTTACCTGTGGAGCTAGTTTCCCGTTACCTTTTCTAACATAGAAAATATTCATTGATCAGTGCTTCTATGTTGCTTTTGTGTATTTCTGCTTCTACCCCAGTCAGCCTCGGCAGATGACTGCTCACACTCAGCCTAGTTCTAATGGAGGTTTCTTCCCATTAAAGGGGAATCTCCAGTGTCACTCACTGCATGCTTACTGGGTGTAAGGGAGTGCTGTAGTCAATGACAGAATCAAAGCACACATCTATTGTTTCTATATGCTCACAAAGAGGGAATCCTGCAAAGTCAGTGACTGAATGCAGTCAGCTGGTTCTCCTTTGATAGCAAATCTTAACCAATCTATCTGGATATGATTGTATTATCTTTGTAAATGCCTTGAGATGACATGTGAGGTGAATTGTTGCTATAGAGACAAATTAAATTGAAAAGGATTTGAAGCTTTAAGATTTTATCACTCTTCTAACCCTTTAAACGAAAGTTCAATCAGCACAAAATAACCAATGGGTCATTATTTACACCTAAAACTAATACGTTTGCAGTGATTTTATGAATTTAGCGTTAATCAGTAAAAAAATTCAATTGAATTCAATTCGGTTTATTTATATAGCGCCAAATTCACAACACATGTCATCTCAAGGCACTTTCCAGTTCAACCAGATAATCCAGTAAAATTGATACAAAGTTTTCTATCTAAGGAAAACTAGCTGACTGCATTGACTCAAATACAATCCCTCACACTAAAATGAAAACAATAATAATTTTCTTTGTGATTACAAACCAGTAGGTGGCAGTAGTGTTCTTTGACAAACATGGACGCCTCCAGTAAAGCACATTCACATGAAAATTACTCTGAATTAAAAACACTGATCATTTATTGAACAGGATGGAATCATTTCAGATTTAAAGAACTTTCAGGAGTTTGGACTCTGAATGTGAGCGACTTTTCCTTTAAGTACATCAGACCCACTGTATTAGCATCCTGTTGGATGTGAGCTGAACCCAGCAGTGGTTCCTATTTTTTTTGTCTTAAAGTTGTGGTTTATACCTGATCGCAGGTGTCCATCACTCTAACAGTAACAGGCTGTTGGTCCACGATCTCATCTGATGAATAGATGTCCTCTAAAAAAAAAAACACAGAGGAAGTGGTGATGGTTTAAGAGATCTTTCCAAATATTAAGTGTGAAAGTAGAATAAAGTAGAATTTGCTAATGGTTAATATCTAGAACCTTCCTTCTTCCTGTTTATTATCATTATTATGGCCGGAAGAGAAACAAAGATTTCCACCTGACAATTTACAGCAATTACAAACTAAACAAATCCAACATATCCCACTCTGCAGACTCTATAGCATCTTATATGGGAACCAGAAAAAGTTTGGCTCAGATTCTGCAAATTCTATTCAAATAGAACAAATATTTATTTAAAATTGTCCTGCACAAAAATTACCATCACAGATTGAGAATTGGGGAGATTTTCAGATGGTGGACTGTCCATATTCTCCAGGGAACTTTTCCTTCTAGTGGTTTTCACTCTAGGCATTCTCAGAAAGGATTTAAAGAAAATCTCCAACCCAATCTGCTGGTTTCCTCAGATAAATAATTTCGCTGGTAATTTATAATTTGTTGTGCAATGTGAATAGGGATGCGAATCGAAACCCGGTTCCTGTTCAGAACCGGTTCCTTGTGTTCTGATTCCATGACACCATTTGGCAGCTCGCTTAACGATTCTCTTAACAGTTCCAGGCAGAACCAGAGCCGCTCTGGGCAGCACTACTTACTTAGGGTTACGGCACGTTTTCTACGCAAGTTATGCTCACAGCATTCAGTAAGCAAGTACGACGTGACCAGCCGTAAGTCTAGAAAAGCAAAAAAAAAAAAAATGGCTTCCCATCGGGTAAAGTGGCAATAACATCAGCAGGAGGAAATACCTCCAACATGCAGAAACACCTGCGCACACAACATGGCATCCATTTGAACGAATGCCATGTTTTTTATGCTTCCGGACAGAAGCTAAAGTTACGACCAGCATGGAAGGAAACTCAGGTGGTTAGTAGCTAGTTTTCTATCACTGGCTGAGCTTAATGTGGTTCCTAGTAAATCAGAAGCCATTTCTGGAAATAAACCAGGTTCCTGCCTCTCTTTGGGGTTATTAAACATGCTACCAAGAGGCTTCGCAGTTCAGGGAGCGAGAGAAAGGTGACGCTCTTTTATTTAAGTCAGGGGGAGATGAGTTTACTTCCCCAAATTGTACAGTAATACTTTTTAATTAAACGGATGCCTTCTCCATTAGATTTAGATGACTGTGAGGAGACGGGTAGCCTGGCTGGATCAGAGGCTGCAGCTCCTGTTCACTGCCTTCTGTTCTCGCCGAGGCAGGCAGAGATAAAATGTTCCAGGCGAAGGTAGACGAATGTCACCGAGCAATTACCAAGTTCATTGCTTCACAGAATCGATAAGAGAATCAGAATCGTGAAAATCTTATCAATTCCCAACCCTAAATATGACTGAATCAAAGGTCCCTGCTTTACATTAAAACTTCCACACAACTCCTAGAGTGGTGCAGCCTGAAAATCCATCCCTCCATGTTCTCCCTCTTAGTCCTTGTCAGGGTCCTGGTGGGGCCGGGGCCAATCTCCAGGAGTCTATAAGCAAGAGACCAGTTTCACCCTGGACAGGTCGTCAGTCGGTAGCAGGGCAACATGGAGACACACAAAGACACACAATCATGCACACAGACACTGATGCTACGTTCAGACCGCAAGCAGTAGAAGCAGCTTGTTTACATGCAAAGTCAGTGGTTGGCGCGCATCAGGTGCAGCAAAAGGTCCTGCAGCGCATTTGGAGCAGATCATCTGAACAGCTGAAGTAGCGACTCATGAGCTTCTGAGCATCTGAGATGCTTCAGGTGCAGCAGCTGCTGGAGTTGGAAATATTAAACTTTAGCTGCTGGATGCACCACATCAACCAATCAGAGAGGCTGATCTGGGAGCTGACAGGGAGACAGACACAGCACTGCTGATGCAGAGCGCTATGATCACTCCTCTGAAACAGTTTATTAACGCCTAAATTAACTTCAAATATAGAAATATATGGGGCCAAAATGGTAGCTTTAATATTTGCAAATGTGTGTGGAAAGTTGTGTGTCTGTATCTCGATTTGTGTGTGTGCAGTGGGATTTGAAAATGTGTAAATAAATCTATAAATGTGTGAGATTTGTGTGTCTGTACAACAATCTGCAAATGTGTAAAACTACTTGTGTGTAATCTGTTTTGCAAATGTGTAAAAAATCCACAAATCCGAATTCAGATCCACAAATGTGTACTGAGACTTGCAAATGTGTAGATCAATCTGTAAGCACACACAGAGACACTTGTGTCTGAAGTATTTTCGCTTCAAGACCCAGAAATACAGACAAATCATTGGTTACAAGTCAAGCGGTTTTTCGGTTGGCTCTCTTTACACACGTGATTTTTGCTACTCTTCTGCCGCGTGAGATGCACAAATGCGTAGAAGGATTTGTATGTGTATTTTCATGATTTGTAACCCCTTGCGCAGGCTCGCAGGCTCACATGCTGCCCTGAACGCAGGCTCGCAGGCTCACAGACAGCCTCTACCTTTTTTTTCCTCCGCTGCGGGAGTTGACGTGACAATGATGATATATTGATACCATTCAGTCAGAAAAAATTTAATCTATTATCAAACAAAAGGTTACGGAAAGAGGGCAGAAGCTGTGGGAAGAGCATAGAACTGGAAGGTGGCTTTATAGTATTCAAAGGAAAATTGGTGCAATGAGCACTGCATGAAAAGTGGGATTTTCGTCAATATACGGCACTGTAGATTGTTGTGGAACTTCAGGTTAGCGGCAGTATACGGCAATTTGCAGGCTTCGACGAAAACTCCCGTAAATTGTCAGAAATTGACGTGGAATTTCTTAGGCAGTGTTCCCCCCATGCCTCCCCCCCATGGAATTCTAGGGGAGGCTTTAACATGTAAATGAACATGCTGTGAGCTATACAAATGCAAACCAGGGTTGCAGGGGGGGTTTTACCCCCCCCCTGCAACCCTGGGTAAGAAAATCTCTGATACAAAGAGATCAGGTATAGCCTCTTACATTTTAGCTTGAATTGATTTATTTAATTAAAGTATAGAGACCAAAACAGATCTTTAGCTGACAGAGCAATACATTTAGAGCAGTAATTATTTTTTTTTAAATTTGCATTTAAGATAAAAAATAAAATGTTGTCTGTCAATATGCTCAATTCACAATTACTTAAGTGGAAAAGTTTCAAGAAATGATTCTGAGATGATTCACTTTATAACATGGCGCATTATCCTGTTGGAAGTAGCCATGAGAAGATTGGTACACTGTGGTCATAAGGACATAGGTCAGCATGCTAAATTGGTATTAAGTGGCCCAAAGTGTGGCAATAAATATCCCCCAAATAGATGGTAGAAATAGATCAGGCTCAGTATAGCCTAATTATAGACTCTTACATTTTAGCTTGAATTGATTTATTTAATTAAAGTACGCTAGATTACTGTGTATGCAAATGTTATGTAAAAAAAATACACAAAATAATTTACTTCAAAAATTAGTTTTAATCAGAATCAGTTGGCTGTAATGGTTAATTTTTTTTTTTAGATTTCCACTTTTTTTTTTTGTTGTTATTGAATATATAAGAAAACAATAACAATCTCAAATAACAAGTCAATAACAAATATTTCAATACAAGAAGAAATATCACAACTCCTGCTTTTGAAAAATAAAATTAAATGCACAGGCTGGAACAAAGTATAAATAAAATAAAATAAATAAAAATAAATAAAATAATAATAGTAGTTAAAGTAAATTAATCAGTGGGGACTACCAACTGAAATTCTTCAATTAACTCAAACAATTTAATTGCATTTAAATTCTGCATCTTTCTCAGACATCTTTTGAAAAGGGAAAGTTCATTTTTGAGAGCAGAGATTGAGAGGGAGCATTTTGCATAGCGACATTTATGGATATAATACTTTGTTACAATTATTAGAATATTGATTAAAAATTCCACATTTTTTTTTCTTTAATGGATAAACCGAATTGAATGTTTTGCCAGGAAATAAAATCTAAATTTATTGTTTTAGTTTTTGGGAATATATACAAACTATGCTCTAATTTCTAGATACCGATCTGTTTTTACTATAATTTAATTTGACAAACCGGGTCTTCTCTACATTCTTTTTTCTGTTTGGTGCGATTGCAATAGCGGGTCTTGATCTGGACGGACCGGAGGGGAGCAAAAAATAGCTCAGCTCCGTATTTTGACGGTGAAGGACGGAGAAGACGTACGTGGGCGGTGACGAGCGGAGGATGTGGAACAGCTCTCATTGATTTACATGACAGACAAGTAATACAGATAGTAGGATGGACATTTTATTAGAAATAAATCATACACTGTTCAGAATACGAAACATGGGGCTGATAGTTACATTTGTGTGGGTTCCAGCACATATTGGGGCGGAAGGAAACGAGAGGGCAGATAAAATGGCAAAAAGGGCAATTAAACATTCTATTAGTTTTATAGTTAAAATAAGTAAATCAGAAGGAAAGAGTATTATTAAAGAGAAACTTATGGAAATTTGGCAAAGAAGGTGGGATGAAGATAAAACAGGAAGATGGTTTTATAAAATTCAGAAGATGGTAGGAGAAAGAAGAAATGGAAGAAGAAATAGAAAGGATGAAAGAGTGATAACAAGGTTAAGATTTGGTCATACAGGACTTAATCATACACTTTTTAAAATACAAAAACATAAAACGGGCAAATGTGATTTCTGTGATAAATATGAAACCATAGAACATGTTATATTAGAATGTCATAAATATGAAAAAGAGAGAAGATATATGAGAAGAGAGTTTGAAGACATTAAGGAGAAGGTTAATTTATTAGATATACTGAGGAAAAATTTAGGGAGTAAACACATACAAATAATTATTCGATTTCTAAAGAAAACGAAATTATTCCATAGAATTTAATTATAGTAAGTGTGTTTGTGAGTGAAGGAATGATATACAAAGCTGTGCACAAATATGTTTATATTTTTAAGTGTGAATGTGTGAATGTATGTTTAGAAGAAGTTAGGGTAGAATGTATCAGGATCAATATTTAAACCATCACGAACCACACTCCATACCAGTAAGTGGCGGTAATGCTACTAACAGTTTGTTGCCAACCGCCATAAAACTCGACAAGAAGAAGAAGAAGACAGACAAGTACTCCGTACGTGAGCGGGGCGGAGCGCTGACGGAGTATGTGGAATCTGGGGGTAAAGGAGGACAAATACACGTCCGGCTGGGTGCAGCGCCGGACGCCGGACAGTGCAATGAAAATCCGGACTGTCCGCCCTAAAGCCGGACATCTGGCCACCCTATCTGCAGTCGAGCAACTTTGCGGGATATACAAACTCGAGGAAGAGAAGACGGGTGCACAACGCCACGCTAGCGGTAAATATATGTTCGATTACTGGTAGCTATGCTAAAAGCAGCCTAGCTTAGCTAGGCAAGCTAAAGACAGCCTAGCCTAGCTAGGTAAGCTAAAAGCAGCCTAGCCTAAAGCTTTACTAAAGTGTATTTTTTGTGATTCACAGGAAGCATTATGCCGTCTTAACAACTCGGAGACTAATTGCAGGCGCTATGAACCGGCAGGGGTAAGGTTTAAAGAATATGCTTTCATTCTGCGGTAAAAGGACATGGATACGGATGGATACCGACCATAGCTGTACTTTTTTTTTTTCACAGACTACAGTCGCCTCACAATGAGGCGGTGACCTCCTATTTGCTCGGATTTGCACGATGTTGATAAAGACGACATTGTGTGTAAGTGACTTGTTTTAATGTTTTCTCCTTCCTTGTTACTGTGACTTGCGTTTGATTTTTTTTATTTTTTTATTCATACCACTCTCATTTAATTGTTTTCCAGCTGCCTGTAAGACGTATTATGAGACGGTATGCAGGAGCTTCAGATACACGCTGCTAGCCAGCACGCTGCGTGCGGAGGCTGCCAGGCTATCTGCTCGGAGTCGGGCCAGACGAAAGAGGGTAAGACTTTATTTGGTGACTATTTTTCAGGTGCATTGATAGATGTGTTGTGTCCATATGCAGTGCGCTGATTCATGTTTTTTTTTTTTTCAGCTGCTGAAGGCGAGGCAGAGTGTGCCAGCAGATGAGGAAGTGGAACTCTGTAAGTCCGCCACCGTCGACCTCATGTCCGACGAAGAAGATGGTGTCGTTGGCGGTGTCTCTAGATGGATTGTACGGTCTCCGCCATTTCGTAGGCCGGATCTCACTGAACTCTGTGTTAAGCTGCAGTCCCGGTTAGAAGCGATGCCGAAGTACAGGGCCACGCACAGTAGGCGTCTGCACATCGGACCTGCCTCGGAGGGAATGCTGCCTGTTACCTCCAACCCCGAGGAAGCAAACGGACCGTTCACGGAGTTGTAATTTTTAGATACGCATGTGTTTGGATACGCGTTGTATATAGTTGGGTGTGTTTTAATAAAGCTCTTTCTTTGCATAAACAGCTTCCTGGCAAATCTTCATTTCCTGTATAAATTCATTCATGTCCTTGATGGTAGCATAATAATTGTGTAGTAGTGTAGGATAACATAAATACACAGCATATGAATGAATAAATATATGAATGAAGAAAATATATGAATATATATATATGAATGAATAAATATATATATATATGAATAAATATATATATGTAAATATATATATATGCCAACCAATCACGAGCGACTTCACTTGTTTAAAAAGAAGTGGTTCCGTCCAATACTCAGTACGAAAATTAAAGCCTGGCGTGGCCACGTGTGGTTTTGCTGCCAATCACGCTGTTTGAGAATAGTGGTTTCAGCCAATACTGAGAAGGTTATTCAAGCCAGACCTGGCCAGCCGCGCGGGTTTGCTGCATTCATATGCTAATTAGGGCCATTAGTACAGCTGCTCGCTCTCCACATACGTCAGAGTCCGTTTCCGACAATTTGTGGCACGACAAACGCGGACAAGCACGGGTTGCAAATTGTCGGAAACTGACGAAAATCAGGCAGATCTGCGGGAGTTTACGGGGGTTTACGGGGACGAAAATCTCACTTTTCATGCAGTGGAGGAGAATGGAAAGGAATAGAAAAGAGGTTATATCTAGATTAAGTTTCGAAAACACGGGGTTAAATGGAAACTTATTTAGAATGGGAACAGGAGGTTGTGGTTTTTGTTATCAAGGGGAGATGGTGGAACATGTTTTGTTATAAATATTTTATGGAGAGAAGGGAATTATTAAGTTGGTTGCAAGAAAATAAATTACAGTTAAATATACAAGATATTTTGGGGAAAAAATCTACTCCTGATTATTTTTGTAATTTGATAAACAATCTTGAAAAAACGAAATTGATAGAAAGGATATAAGTTTATTTATGTAAATATTGTTAATATTTATTTTTATTTTTCAGTGGGAAAATACATAGCATCCCGATCCACACTCCACTGAAGTAGATGGCGGTAATGTATGTGGCTGTATGTGAAGCAAGTTGTGCTGAACTGTCGCAGCAGAGAGAGGCTATCTGTGAGCCTGCGAGCCTGCGTTCAGGGCAGCATGTGAGCCTGCGAGCCTGCGCAAGGGGTTACAAATCGCGAAAATACACATACATATCCTACGCATTTGTGCATCTCACGCGGCAGAAGAGTAGCAAAAATCACGTGTGTAAAGAGAGCCAACCGAAAAACCGTTTGACTTGTAACCAATGATTTGTCTGTATTTCTGGGTCTTGAAGCGAAAATACTTCAGACACAAGTGTCTCTGTGTGCTTACAGATTGATCTACACATTTGCAAGTCTCAGTACACATTTGTGGATCTGAATACAGATTTGTGGATTTTTTTTACAGATTTGCCAATCTCAGTACACATTTGCAGATCTGAATACAGATTTGTGGATTTTTTACACATTTGCAAATCTCAGTACACATTTGCAGATCTGAATACAGATTTGTGGATTTTTTACACATTTGCAAAACAGATTACACACAAGTAGTTTTACACATTTGCAGATTGTTGTACGGACACACAAATCTCCTCACACATTTACAGATTTATTTACACATTTTCAAATCCCACTGCACACACACAAATCGAGATACAGACACACAACTCTCCACACACATTTGCAAATATTAAAGCTACCATTTTGGCCCCATAGAAAGCTGCTGGTAAAATTATCCTTTTGTCTGGAGTTTGGATCACATACGTGAAAAACACCTTCCAGTTTGTTCACATTAATGATAGATCTTCCTCATGCTCAAAGGTTACCTGTGGAGTACCACAGGGATCAGTGCTAGGAACATTTCTCTTTACTTTATACATGCTCCCAATTGGTAGAGTTATTAGACAGCATGGGATTAATTTTCACTGTTATGCTGATGATACCCAGCTATATCTGTCTATAATCCAGATGAAGCTAACCCATTACATGTTGGGATCTGGAGTTGTTCCACCTTTCCCCAGCAGAGTGCGCCGTGGGTTCTCTGGGCTGGAGCTCACCAGCACACCTGGAGCTCGTCAGCCCATTAGAGGACCCTCTACTTAAGCAGATGCCAGACCTTTCTTCGACGCCGCAGTGTTAGCTAAGTTTGGTTAGCGAACCTGAGCCTTTTGTCTTTGAGTTTTGTCCCCTAGAGAACACTGAATTCTAACCAGCCTTTGTCTTGTCGCTCCTAGGAAAACCTGTCTCTCGACCTAACCCCTCAATCCAAGGTCTGATCCAACAGTCAGAAGTTAGACGCTGCACCTGCTGAGCACTCTGTTAAACCAACAGTCTCTGGACCCAACCGGTTCCCCCCCTCTGAGAAGAAAGCCTGAAACTCTCCAAGGTATATTCTGCAAAAATCTGAAAACTAAACAACGCTTCCTATCCACCTGGTTAACCAAACTGTCATCTCTGCAGACGCCTGAGAATCCAGCCCGGACCTGTTTCCTGAACGCAGTCTTATTTTGTGCAAACATTTAATAAACTCTGTTAAACTTTTCATCTGTCTCCTGGTAGTGTTCTGCATGTGGGTTTGATTCAGATCCAATCATGACAGAACACTGCGGCCAAACACAAAGCCCAGCAGATCACCTCCAGAAGAGACTTGAGGAGCAGGACGCTCAAATCCATGGACACGCCCACACAATCCGTGAGTTACACAAACTACTGGAATATCAGAACCAAGTCCTGCAGAATTATGCCGGCTACATGGGAGGTGCTAACGCTACGCCGGCAGCCCGATCTGTTCCGGAACCACTTCCGCCTCTAAGGTCACCATCCGTGATGTCATTTCCTGAGTTCCATCCGAGTCTCCCTGAAAGATTTTCAGGTAACCAAAAGGAGTTTAAGGGTTTTTTGTTCCAGTGTCGTTTGCTTTTTGAACACTCCCCTGGCAGTTTTCCTAACGATAGGAAAAAGATTTCCTTTATTCTGTCCCAACTAACTGGTCGAGCCCTGGAATGGGTGGAGGCAAGATTTTCTTCTGAGTCCAGTTTTCGTTGTACAATTTCCCAATTTTTATCTGAGTTTTCTCAAGTCTTTAACCATGACTCAGATAAGACAATTGACTCTCGAGCCTTACCTAATCTCAAACAGGGAAATTCTACTGTTGCTGAGTTCTCCATTGACTTCCGGGTTAAGGCTGCAGCTTCTGGTTGGAACGAGTGCGCACTTAAGAGTGCTTACTTTAAAGCTCTTAACGATAACATTAAGGATGAACTCGCCACATTAGACGAACCAGCTAGTTTGGAGGATTTAATACGTCTGACCATCAGGTTAGATAACAGACTTCGTGCCAGAAGTAATTTTAGATTGAGAAATCTGAGTTCTGCTGTTTCTACTCCTGCATTAAGAAATGCTTCTGTTTCCCAATAACCCATAACCAAGCCTAGAGCTAAGAACCAGTCTCTTCCAACACCTGTCCAGGTCTCTCACTATACTCCATCTGATGGAACTGAGACCGAACCCATGCAGATTGGACACACCAGATTGTCCCCGGAGGAGAGGCAACGGAGATTTCAGGCTAAACTGTGTCTATACTGTGGTGAGACTGGCCATTTCATTGCCTTTTGCCCGACAAAATCAAAAGCCGGGGCCCGTCAGAGGATGTGAGGAGTCTGACGGGCCATCTGAGATCCGAGAAAACTCCTCACTTGTTGTTGCCTTCTACTCTGTTCTTTTCTAACCAGAATCTTACGTTATCTGCCTTCATAGATTCTGGTTGTGAGAAAAACCTAATTGACTCTGAACTGGTTCAGCAGTTAGGGATTGACACTGTCCCTTTAATTAAACCCCTCAGAGTTTCAGCTATCGATGGAAAGAAACTTAATCAAGTAACTCATCAGACTCAACCGTTAGAACTGCTTATCTCTGGAAACCATCGTGAGATGATAACGTTTTTTGTTTTTCCTTCAGCCTGTTCTCCCCTGGTGCTTGGTTTCGAGTGGCTGGAGCGTCATAACCCCCATATCAACTGGGCTGAACGCCACATTGAATCCTGGTCCACCTTCTGTCACGAGTCTTGTCTTCGTTCTGCGGCTCCTTCTGTTCAGTCCCCTAGAGGTAGGGGGGAGATGGACTCTCCTGACCTTACTTCTGTTCCTCCCGAGTATCATAATCTGGCACCAGTCTTCAGTAAGGTCAGTGCTACGTCTCTTCCACCTCACAGACCATACGATTGTGCCATAGATTTACTTCCTGGAGCCCCTCTCCCCAGCAGCAGATTGTATAACATTTCCAAACCTGAACGTGAAACTATGGACAAATACATCAATGAATCTCTAGCTGCTGGAATCATTCGCCCACCTTCATCCCCACTTGGTGCTGGTTTTTTCTTTGTGGGCAAAAAGGATGGTTCTCTGCGCCCCTGTATCGACTACAGGGGACTGAATCAGATTACTGTTAAAAATAAATACCCCCTGCCACTACTAGCATCAGCGTTCGAACCGGTTCAGGGGGCTACAATTTTCACCAAGCTTGACCTGAGAAACGCCTACCACCTCCTGAGAATAAGAGAAGGGGATGAATGGAAAACAGCTTTTAAAACCCCCTTAGGACAGATTGAATACTTGGTCATGCCTTTTGGTCTCACGAATGCTCCTGCCTGTTTCCAAGCTTTGGTCAATGATGTTCTCAGAGATTTTTTGAATGTCTTTGTTTTTGTCTACATCGACGATATTTTGATTTACTCCAAGAACCTCTCAGACCACAGAAAGCACGTTCGTCTAGTTCTTCAGAGACTTCTGGAAAATAAACTTTTTGTGAAAGCCGAGAAATGTGAATTTCATCAACAGTCTGTTACTTTTCTAGGGTTTGTGCTCGAGGGCGGGCAGGTGAAGCCATCAGAAGAAAAGATAAAGGCAGTTCCGGATTGGCCTACACCTGAGAACCGCAAGCAACTCCAAAGATTTCTCGGCTTCGCTAACTTTTACAGGAGGTTCATAAGAAATTACACCCAGACAGCTCAACCTCTCACTGCTCTTACCTCTGTAAAGAAAACATTTCAATGGACACCTGAGGCTGAGGCAGCTTTCAATAAGTTAAAGAGACTTTTTTCCAGTGCTCCCATCTTGGTCCAACCAGATCCTACGAAACAGTTCATCCTAGAGGTGGATGCCTCTGATTCCGGTGTGGGAGCTGTACTGTCTCAGCAATCTGACTCTGATCAAAAGACTCACCTGTGTGCATTCTTTTCTCGCAGATTATCCTCAGCCGAGCAAAACTATGATGTTGGTGATCGAGAACTTTTGGCCATTAAGCTTGCCTTGGAGGAATGGAGACACTGGCTTGAGGGGGCGGAACATCCGGTTCTGGTTTGGACTGACCACAAGAACCTTGCCTATATCCAATCAGCTAAAAGATTCAACCCTCGGCATTCAAGGTGGTCTCTGTTCTTCTCTCGATTCAATTTAATTATTTCCTACAGACCTGGTTCCAAGAACGTCAAGCCCGACTCTCTCTCTCGTCTGTATTCCTCTGATCAACCCGAGACACCTGAACCTGTTCTCCCAGCCACTTGCACTGTTGGGGCCGTTTCCTGGGAGATCACTGATTTAATCAACGCAGCCCTGGTCTCTGAACCTGACCCAGGTAACGGTCCTCCAAATAAGATGTACGTTCCATCCTCCGTCAGGTCCCGACTTATCCAGTGGATGCATACAGCAAGATTCTCGGCTCATCCTGGAGTTAGCAGAACCATCGCCCTCATACAACGATGATTCTGGTGGCAGTCTTTGCACAAAGACGTTAAAGAATACGTTCTGGCCTGTCCCATCTGCGCTAGGAACAAGACGTCACACCAACAACCTTCCGGTCTACTGCAACCTCTACCTGTTCCAACCCGTCCATGGTCTCACATCGCGGTGGATTTTGTCACCGGTCTCCCCATTTCTAGAGGTATGATTACAATCCTAACTATCATCGATCGTTTTTCCAAGGCTTGTCATCTCATTCCCCTCAGAAAGCTCCCCACTGCATTCCAGACGGCTCAACTCCTTGTGAAACACGTTTTTCGTCTCCATGGCATCCCTCAGGAAATCCTCTCCGATCGTGGTCCCCAGTTCATCTCTCAGATCTGGAAAGCTTTCTGTTCCGCACTCAACTGTAAATCTTCTCTTACGTCAGGTTATCACCCTCAGTCTAACGGGCAGACGGAGAGGATGAACCAGTAGCTTGAGTCCTCCCTCCGCTGCCTTACATCCAATAACCCAACTGACTGGAGCCAGTACCTGTCCTGGATAGAATACGCACATAACTCCCAGAGATCTGCTTCCACTGGTTTGTCTCCCTTTCAGGTGTCCTTGGGTTATCAGCCTCCACTTTTCCCCGCAGATGAGAGAGAGATCACAGTTAGATCAGTCCATCAACACATCCGCCGCAGCCAACGGATCTGGAGAGCTCTCACCTGTGCTTCCGCCACTACCAAGAGGTATGCGGATTCTCAGAGGCGCCCCGCTCCTGATTACACTCCAGGCCAGGAGGTCTGGTTGTCGACCCGAGACATCCCCCTCAAGGGGATGTCGAAAAAACTATCACCCAGGTTCATCGGTCCTTTCAAGATTGACCAAATCATCAACCCCTCTGCTGTCCCTCTACACTTGCCATCCTCCCTACGCATCCATCCCACTTTCCACGTCTCGCAGATCAAACCAGTCATCACTAGCTCCTTGTGCCCGCCTTCCGACTCCCCTCCGCCCGCCCTGGACATTGATGGTCATCCGGCTTACACTGTTTGCCGGATCGTAGACTCCCGTCGGCGAGGTCGCGGTTGGCAGTACCTCGTCGACTGGGAGGGCTATGGTCCGGAAGACCGCACCTGGGTCCCAGGCTCTTATAACCTCGATCCTTCCTTGATTGAGGAATATGAGAGTTCCCTCCCGTCCACTTCCTCTGGACCGCCAAGAGGCGGTCGTTGAGGGGGGGGTACTGTTGGGATCTGGAGTTGTTCCACCTTTCCCCAGCAGAGTGTGCCGTGGGTTCTCTGGGCTGGAGCTCACCAGCACACCTGGAGCTCATCAGTCCATTAGAGGACCCTCTACTTAAGCAGATGCCAGACCTTTCTTCGACGCCGCAGTGTTAGCTAAGTTTGGTTAGCGAACCTGAGCCTTTTGTCTTTGAGTTTTGTCCCCTAGAGAAAACTGAATTCTAACCAGCCTTTGTCTTGTCGCTCCTAGGAAAACCTGTCTCTCGTGTGAAGCTCTGGGAGAGCTTAACCAGAATCTGTTTGCCTGCCCTAGAGAGCCAAACCTGAAGATCTCACTTTGGAATCCACCTGCTGCTCTCGGAAGGAGAGCTAACCCCTCAATCCAAGGTCTGATCCAACAGTCAGAAGTTAGACGCTGCACCTGCTGAGCACTCTGTTAAACCAACAGTCTCTGGACCCAACCGGTTCCCCCCCTCTGAGAAGAAAGTCTGAAACTCTCCAAGGTATATTCTGCAAAAATCTGAAAACTAAACAACGCTTCCTATCCACCTGGTTAACCAAACTGTCATCTCTGCAGACG